ATTATTATTATTATTATTATTATTATTATTATTGTCATTATTGTTATTATTGTTATCATTATTATTATTAAAGGAATAGTAGGTCCATCGATTATGCAAAGTTGACGAATGCTACATGCAGTAACTGGCACCTTGTGTAGTTGATAAGTACATTACCTTATAGCCAAACGCGTATTAGTTTGTCCAATATCACTGCTGGTTACTAAGAAATGTCCAATTGAAATCCGCGGTCAAATAAATCCGTTGTTGACAGTTACAACCCGCCATGACCGGCCGTAACCGGCGAGGCGGTGTCATACAGATTATAGTGCACCGGACATTTTCGCATGTATGCTTGGCCGTCAGTGATTTCGATCCTTGTGGTCTGAGTGCGCATTCCGTACGTTATGGTTTTACTCTTGGGATTCGGGAATAAATGTATATATACGAAGATCTTGAGATTACAAGCAACATATAATATGTGAAAAGGATATGCCGTCACTAGGCAAACAATTTACCCGGGACAAACAATTCGATGCTCAACATCCTGTAGCAACATGTGAGGTCACCGAACCGAAATCGATGCTTATTTTGTTGGCAATAAATTTAACGTTGGCGCCAGATTACCGAATTTACGGATTTCAATTAGACATTTCTTAGTAATTAGCAGTGATATTGGACAAACTAATACGCGTTTGGCTATAAGGTAATGTACTTATTAACTACACAAGGTGCCAGTTACTGTAGCATTCGTCAACTTTGCATAATCGATGGAAATATTATGCCTTTAAGGGTTGAGCAGTAATTAATTTTGTAATTAAGGGAGAATCATAGACAAAAACAAGGTAACGTTTGAATATATTTATTCACATATTAATAGAATATTTACAAGTTGAAAACTATGCAAAACGCTGTTAAAACGGTGTCATACTCTTCTCTATTATGAGCTTTTGATATATATGTGTATGTATGTGTGTGTGTATGTCAAGATTTATTTACATGCCTTCTTCAAATGTAATGTAGGTCAGTGCTTAGCTAATTATCATTACACAAGTCTAAAACATGGCAATGTGTGTGAAAGAGTTCATTATACTAGTATCATGCATGGATTAAAGCACCTCTGCTGGTCATTTGGAAACTTAAACATTCATATAAAGTATTTTCATATACTCATGATTAAGTTACTCAAAAATCTATTAGTTATGTAGTGACGTGTGAGTTGTGTGGTATAGGCTAAACCACTTGCTTGTACTGTAGGTAGAAATTATCATACCACATAATAGTGAAGCCACCCACATCATATTTTGTTGAATTGTTGATATGGTGCATTCTGAGCATGCCATGTTCCTTGATGGTTTACTGCAGTGTGACTTTATAAGCTGTTTTAATCAAGGTGGTCTGAAACAAATTGCATGTTTTCAGTTGTATTTCATTACTGTCAGTGCTAGCCCATTTTAATTAGATCAGCATGTCACTTTAATTACATTTCTGCATGTGGTTCATTTCTGCAAGGAACTTTTCACAGACAACTATAACTACTCTTGCAGTATGTAACTATGTGCACTAAATGCGTTCAGTAGTTACCCTTGCCGCGAATTGACAGGAAGCATGCTTTAATCCTAAATTTTTTCTGACATGGGTTCTCTGCTGCACGTCCGTCTGCTCGTTCCAAAATTATTTTTTGCCAGAAATCGTTTTAGCATGCGTCGTCGTCCCCTGCCTGCCGGTGTCTCGCCCCGGTCCCGGTTAATGTATTACTGTCGCTTCAGACGAGGTTGGTGGTGATGGGCATGAGCATGATGAGAGGGCAGCACTGCTGCGCGCCGCCAAAAACCTGCCGCGCGGACAGCACCAGGATCGCTTCCAGGAGGAGGCGGCGGCGGCGGCGGACGACGAATACCGCGGCGGCGGCGGCGGCATGCACCGCAACATGGACCACGACTTTGCGCAGCGAAACCGCTTCGACCAACTACGATAAGCGAGCGCTCGCTTGGGGGGTGGGGATAGGGGATGAGATAGGGGTCTGGGGTGGGGTGGGGGTGAAGGGGGGGGGTTGTGACTGGCAATCGCATGTGTCGCGACCTCACTGCAGCACCAGCCCGCTGCGCCGCGCGCTGGCAGTACGTAGCAACAGTCGTTGTCGTTCGTTTGACAGGCGCCAGAGACCAGCTGTGAGCGGTGGCCATTTTGTTTCCCGCCTGCCCCTTGGCAGCCGTCGTATCGCTGGCTGCTCGTAGACCCCCCACGCACGTAGACCGGCCGTCCGCTGCCCTCTCGAAGCAAGACTTGCGGTACGGAGCGACTGTAAGAGCGCAACGTCCGATATCGCCCTCCGTCGTATCTCGTTCGAGCGAATTTGTTGGTCCTCGTCTGCACGCATCTAAATGCGGCGCTTGCTTCGTTGCGCGTTATGTAGCAGCGGGAGTTCTTCCGAGCGTGTCATAGTGAATGTGACGTACGTGCATCTGCTACGTATAGGTGATTACCAGATTGAGAGTGAAATCTGGAGTGGGTGTGATCTTGTGGGATATTAATATGCGAATGACGGGGTGATGGAACCTATTTCGGTGTCGGTGCGACGTATTTAAGTGGATCAAGTGCCTTAACATTTTGCGCGGTGTTATCCTGTTTTGAGAAGAAGTCGTAATGCTATGCAAACTTTGATGTTGTTCGAAATTGCTGACTTTAAATAGAGCACAATCATGGTGGATCGATTGCATAAGTGTGTCTGTGTGCAAACACGTGAAACTAAACACAAACTGCCGCATTTGTGCATGTAAATGATGATTATTAAAATTGCTGGTGGTGTAAATATTGTGTACCTATAAGTAGCTGTGATTTTTATGCATAATATGTAATAGGTTAGCAAAAATTCCCGCACTGAAAATCTGTTAATTTCAATATAAAGCATTTTTTCCCAATGGGGTTAGCCATTTACTAATTGCTGGATAGATGGCGCGCGTGCACTGTCTGGTATCACTGCTAAACAATGGCGTCTAGTTACGAAGGGAAAACCGTAAATGAATTAAAATCAGAGTTGCAAAGTAGAGGTGCAAAGACATCTGGGAGGAAAGCTGATATGATAGAAAGGTAAATTAATTAACCTACCTGCTCTCTAAATTAGCACGAACACGTACATGTACGCTTGCGTGCGTGTGCACGTACACGTGCGTGCGTGCGTGCGTATGCACGTACATATGTGCGTGCGTGCGAGCGTGCGTGCGTGCGTGCGTGCGTGCGCACGTACACGTGCTTGCTTGCATGCGTGTGCAAGTACACGTTCGTGCATGCGTGTGTGTACGTACACGTGCGTGCGCGCGTGCGTGCGCGCGTGCGTGGGTGCGTGTGCACGTACACGTGCGTGCGTCCATGCGTGCGCGCGTGCGTGCGTCCATGCGTGCGTGCGTCCATGCGTGCGCGCGTGCGTGCGTGCAGGCGTGAGTGTGTGTGCACTTTCATCGCCTCTTTTGATCGCCACACACCATTTCAATCTCAGTTCTGGGTCACTTGGGAAACTATGACCTCTTTTATTGTTACATTGAGGTACAACACAGCATAGTAATCAGGCATCGCAAAAGCAACTATAAAAGCCTATTAACGGAAGTAATGTATACCGGTCCAGACACGCACGCCATCTCGCGGTGAACTGATTGACTAACCTCATTGCCCATTAAATGTACACTGTGTCATGAAATAAGGAACCTGCGAGCATTGCTTGTATAAACCAATAAATTAATATTATGCTAGTAAGGTGTATAAATCTACCTTACATTTAAAATATTTTTTATGATATGTGATTTTTATTTTTATTTTGCGCTTGAGTTTCTTTTCAACCATGTACGAATTCAATTCTGCCCATTTTGAGTTTTTATTGTGCACTCACTTCTTACCAACATCCATTTCATCTGACATAATAGCATAAATTATTTCAGTTATGATCGGGGTCTCAGCCAGGGCCGTAGCTACCATTAGGCAATAGGAGGCAAATGCCTCCCACAAAATTTCTTCTCGGGCCCCATATCCCACGCACTATTGACTTGCTTCGCTCCTTGTTCTTTTAACTCACAACATTTGCCTCCTACAAAATTTACCCTCTGGCTATGGCCCTGCATGGTCTCAGCTCGTTCTAATATATAATTTAATTGTTCACTGACAATACAAGTAAATGTTAGTTGTTTCTGTGACGGCACACCGTGACACGTCACATGTAACTTTGCATGGATAACAAAATATGGATCTTATTGTTGTGTGTATGGTGTTCGTACACCCGTGCGTGATTGATCTAATTCTATTTAATAATAAAGGAAATCGTTTCCAAGAAAAACGATAATCGCTACTATTCCGTATTCGTTGTTTGTTACATATCTGTATCAGTTTAGATTTTTCTCGTTGCTTATTACTGTCCCTTTATTTTATTTTCGTCGTGATCGACATTGTAACGTCTATCACAGGCCCGTAGCCAGGGGGGTTTGGGGGGTTTGGACGGACCCCCCCCCCCCCGCAATATAAAGCTGGCTACGGGCCTGTATCATTTTGATCAACCTTGAGTCTGGCTATTAAATTCTTTATGGATTAGTGGTACCTTGGACAAATAAGACTTGCAAGGTCACATTGTTGGCCAGCCATGCCTGGGCCATAGATCTCAAGAGGCAATGCTGTTTGATTATAAAAATTCATAATTCATTTGTGTTTATTTCGTGCTTATTTCAATTTTCTAAAATTTTAATAGTTGGACTTGCAATTTTTCTCATGCATACTAGCAGTAATTTATTATTGGCTAGTACGGAATCACGTGGAAATCGGATCTCTACGCAGTGGCGCTGTCTACTTCCTCTTTTTAGGTCGTTATCAAGATGGTAAGCGTGTTTCGTTTTCTTAACGTTTATACCGTAAAAATAGTGTAAATATGCAAAGAATTCAGTAATTAATAGAGTACAGACCTTGTTAAAGTCACAGTATATGTCATTTAGTCAGTTATGTCGCTTCGTAATGTGTTAGTAGTAAATTTCCCGACGTGGGATAGTGGCTATCGCCAGCAGCGATTCGCTCGGCTCGGCTATGGCAACCATCTTTATTTATCATTCAGCCTCAGGGGTGTCGTACAATAGCAACTAGACTGTTAACTTATAGTTATATAGTGAAAGTTACATTCTTCTTTCACACGTGTATGTTTCATATGTATATATGTTTAACGAGCAAATATCTATCTATTGCAGCAGATTCTGGTTAATGTAAGATAAAGATGTGCCAAGTGGCAACGGTGCAAATCCACTTTAGGAACCTTAGGTATCACGAAGTGATGCACAGATTTCTGTGTATCATCAACTGATGCACAGACTTTCCGTATATCAAGGAATGATGCAAAAACCTTAACCCTAACCCTAACCCTAACCTTGACACACTTCGTGTGTTAATGACATTGATGGCTAGTAACAGATAAACAAACTGCTGAATTATAAATTTATCGGTGTCGGTGCGGGTGCAGCATCCAACCCGGGCCGAGCGCGGAGATTAATAGCTTCTCACATGTGTTATCGCGCTCAAGATTTAAGTACACACGGTGGCACCCCAGCGCACGGGACCCTGTCTGCCGGGCCCATACCGGCGTCGTCAAAAAAGGTCAGAAGAGAGGGAGCGCCCGCGTAAGTGCACAGACGTGGCCTTCTGACATTTCCGCGGGCCGGCAGATCCACAAATATCCGAGGGAAACATGAAACCAGGCAGGTGTAATTACGGCCAGCAATCTGAGGTTTTCGTAGACCGCTATATCTGGTGGGGATGGATCGCAACCTCATCCTTCACATCTCGCTGCTTTGTGTAGAAGTCGAGAGTCAGGCGTTGGAGTAGTATTCTGCAATGATCACCCGAGACCACCCGAGGTCCCCCTCCCCGCGGCCGCCGGTTGCTTCAGAGTCTTGGTTCCCCGACGAACCTACAGATGGAGCAATGAGATAAATGCAATAAACTAACATGCGATGAATGTACATCGCCATGCCCATGCACACGGCACGCACACAGCACAGACATCACCACGGAAAAACACATGGGTCATTGGTATTCAATTAAAACTGCACTTAAGCAAGTGTTTACATGATAAACTGGTGAGCTCTACTTGCTTGTTGTTGGCCTGGTGCCCCGTGTTAAAGAGTCACTTGTGCTGAGATCGTGTGCGACGTGTTAGTGAGGACGGCGCTGAAGGGTTCTGATGTAACAGGGTATTCGGCCGGGAACGTAACCATGGAGCTTATCTTAAGATATCCCCGCGGACCGGTGACCCGGGTCGATCTAGCCCAGTCCACTCGAACGGAGTCTAGGAGTCGCGCTACGGCGCCTACTCCGCTAATCCTAACCTAACGCTAAGCCGAACCATCATCAGACTAGTTACCAGGGTACGGTGTCCGCGGCAGGTACCCTGGGGGGGCATATAGCCCTAGTGAGTGTTAGTGACTGCACAGGTCTAGTATTATCACGAACTCGAAATCATGTAGAATCTAGGGTGAACAAGCAGGCCAACAGCAAAATCAAGTTTGTGTGTCCAGAAAATCTTGCCACATTACCATAGACATCTAGACTAGTGCCAAACAAAATGTTTTAAAGGTCAGTGATGTCTTTGTTGTACGTAAAAAAATTAAGTTAATTGAATGCCTAATCTGACATGGTGTAATTATAAGAAAACCTACCACACCGTTTTGACCAAAGAACGTGGATATTCGAGCCGGACGCATCAGACACCTGTTTTGTATGCGCTATTCGTCCCGAGGCAGTTTGTTGGCGCATGTAGCGTGTTATGGTGTATTACATAAATGTAATATTAATGCTGACGTCTAGCGTAGGTCGCCTACTCTCCAACGTGGCCCACCTAACCCTAACACTATAAAACCGACTCGGATCTCTTATATACCGATGTCATAGTAAGCCAAAACGCATCTATGGTGTATAAGCCACATAGCGCATGTATGCAGGGCGTTACGCCGCTAGGGCTGGCGCGAGCAAACGCTCAAGCAATTAAAGCAATTTTTGAGGCGTCTAATTTCAATAATTTTTCCCTGTCAGACCCCGGCCCACTTCACACTCTTTCCTACAGGTGCGGCGTTCTTCGGCAACTCGTGGCCCATGCGCATGCCCTGACCTCCATGATGCAGCGGCATCACAACCAACCGCTCGGACGAAAGGCGGATACCGAAAAAAGGGGTTTTTGTTCGACTGCTCAGACGAATATCTACGTCAGTTGACGCAAAATGATGTGGCCCACTTATTCAGCAGGTTCAAGTGGCCTGTCCAAAATGCAGCTATTCAGGCACCTTAGGTATCACGAAGTGATGCGACCGATTTCTGTGATATCATCAAGCTGATGCACACGACTTTCCGTATAACAAGGCACGATGCAAAACGACCGTTCCTAACGCCTAAACGGCTAAGTCATCCAGATGAGACGGGATAACTAGAGAAGCGTTGCCTGAGAAGGGAGGTGTTTAATTTCCGAAGTTGCTGCGCGATCGTTACCGCGCCAGTCCGCGGCACAGGCGCACGCGCGACCGCGCGGAACGTCGTACGCCAGTATCGCAGCGCTGGCAGCTATGGATCCCGTAGCGCCGAATGAATTGGCCGGGCGCACGGATCCATAGGCTGCCAAGCTGAACAGTCCGCAATTTTAGTGGGGGACACCAGAGGGGTAGACATTTGGACGCTGAACAGATTTTCAGGTGTTATAAGTAACATAATGTCTCTGTTCGTATCCGGAGCTGTGTCGACCGCGAAGATTGCACAGAAAGACGTCACGAAATTTCTCAAGCGTGTCGCCGGGAGAGGACCTTGCCTCAGTAATGGAATTGGCTGCAAGGAACAAGGCTACATATGACTGGGACTCGGCTCCCACCTCGATTACGCCCTCGAGTGAGTGGCGCGAGCATATATCCGAACGAACACGTAGCAATGCTCGAGAAGGGTCTTATAGTCCCCCGGGTACTGCCGGGAACGTTACCTGGTACGGTTCGCTGAATAGTACTTGAACGTACCCTGGTAACCGATCATATATGCCGGCCCGTACCTCCGCCTACGTCTCACTGACCCGCGAGTCTAGGGAGTGTCCTACGGCCCTACTCCGTAAACCCGAGACCCGACTGAATCGCATTTAAGAACTTTGGTAGTAATGATATGAGATTGTCGTATTATGTAGCATTGGATATTTGATTGAAGGCCGCTTTCAAGTGGCCTGTGAATCCTATGTATAGGGGTATTCTAGACCTAGAGAAAGACGTTTCATTTGGAGCTACGTAGTGACTTTAGCAGTCGTATACCTAATAGTACACTAGTGAGTAGTAAGTATAAGTCGTTATAGTCTAGTGTAGCTAGTGGTTTACGATAGAGAACACTGGTCCCAATATGTATATGGGCCCGAGATGTAATGAGCATCGGCAATAAACCAATGTCATTTAGCATCAATGATAAATATAATACTTAGTATAATATAAATAGGCTTAGGGTTGATGGTTTCTAAGGGTTTCGGTCATGTATTAGTAAATTAATCCGTACAGTACTAGTAATAGCTCGCGCAAGAAACGGTATTGCTTAGCGGTTAGAACAATCCGGTCGCTATAGGACAACCAGCGCGCGGGCCACGATTCCGACACCCAGAGGCGAGGGAGGCTATGGATAGGGATCGGGACGGTGGGTGCCGCCGTGGATCGCTGTCGCTGCGCAGGGGTGGAGGCCATTCAGGCGTGGGGTAGACGGAAAGCGGGCGGGCCACTGCAGGCACGGAGACCAGGCAGAGTGTAGGGATGCCTTAGCACTGCAAAAGGGAAGAGGGTGCGGATGGAACGGAGGTAGACAGGGAATGTTGTGATCGGGCAGGCCGTCCCGAGGTCTCGTGCACGTGAGAGCCTGGCAGCTCAGACGAGTAACAACGCGGGCGTCCCTGCCCGGCCGCGCGACGCGAGGGGTAGGTGAGACTGTCGCAGGGCCCGCGCCGTCCGAGGAACGGGTCACAGGCGCTCCCAGGCCTGGTCGGGCTAATTTAACTATATGTAAACTAAAGAACTAGTAACGAGGAAGGTTAGGTCATCGTATTACTATTACTATTAGCGCTCGCCTCGGTAGTTACTTAGTACTAGTACTAGTAGTGGCTGGTAGCTTAGGAAGTACTCACTACTATACTAGTACTCACGCTCACCGCTAGTACTCTAGTAAGTAATGTATTGTACAGTGTAACTCTGGTAGTGAATGAGAAGTGAATAGTATTGGGCCATAATACCCGACTAGTCTTAACGTTCTCTAAAGCTTCATTCGCCTATATCAACGTGTAAAATGGCCTGAGGACAAATGCCTCCATCGGTGCAACACACAAGTAGACCGGGAACGCGAGCCCCGACGACCGCGCGGCTGTGTCACAGCAGGCTTGGAAACGTCTCTCAATAAATATATAATGCTAAAGAACACGAAATTCTACTATACTAGTTAAGTCGTTAGTACAGACATAGCTGTGCTGCGTGGCAAAACAACATGGAATAGGAGGAAAGTATACACAATGTAGACTCGGTGACATAGTAGGTGCCGGACAGTTGGACAGGGTTCCAGACGCTCACACTTACGTGGACGTGTAGCGAATATCGCGGGAGTAAAGTGCAAACGGGTGACCAGTTCTAATATCGGCTCTAGATTCGCGTTCGTTGCCCGTCTATCGTCCCAGAATAATGTATTAGCGCTCATATCCAACACAAAAACAAAAAAGAAACTGAGAAATGTCGTCTTATTACGCGAAAAAAGCGGCGCCATAATAACGGAACTTGTCGAATTGGAAGGCATTTCTAAGCAAATGGTCGAGCTACGCCTGCGTTAGTCAAACCCGACTCCGTCG